GTGTAGTGTTTTGCTGGAAAATGGATAAACTATTACGTCAGTCTTAAGCTACCAAGTTAAGTTGCTTTACTTGCTACCCTTTTTATTCCCAAGTATCTACGTATCTCGATAAGATGTGACATCATCGATTTTCATGACTACAATTCACTCAGTGACTGATGCCCCTGTCAATTTAGATGCAAAACGTTTAGCAACTGAGACCTTTGTCAATTGACAAAGCAAGAAGATCCAGCTGAGGTTGTGCAGCAAAAAGCTCGTTTCAAAGTCACTGGAAAATTCCGCTCGGGCAAATTTCATTTAAAACAAGAGTAAACAGGCTTGTAAATGAGGAAATACGATAAAGGAAGCGAAGGAGGATTACGCAAGTAAGGCAGTTTCTCGGTAAATACTAGGAGTTAACAGAGATTAGGTACTTAGTTCTTAGGATTTTTAGGAATAGAATTATCCTTTTGCTGATGTTACAGTATCAGTTATTGCTCTAGGCTTGTATTTTGAAGCAACATTTTTCGACGAAAAAAGTTACCGAACGCTTTACAAAAGCTCGGTAGATTTGAATTTTTAACATTTTAAGTTTTAAGTAGGTCTCTACTGTTGATCAGCAGTCTACAAATGCATGTGTACTATATTTTGTACATGTAATATTTAAAGAATCCCATGCAATTTCGTGCATAGGAACGTCGTATGCAATTAAACCAAGCCTGGCTACATACGACTTTGCCCTCACATTGGACGCGAAATGACTACAAGCTTTAAAGAGCTTGTGAAACTTAGTAATTAATGAAATGTTTGGCACTTTGGAAAAGAAATTGGCTCTCAAAAACTGCACAATTTCTGGGTGGCAAAAGTGCAAATGAGCTCTTATATTCTTTGTAAAATGTTGAGTTATTAAACCCGCGTCGTATAAAAAGTATTCAATACAGCAGGCTCAAATTTCTTGGGACAGTTAATCGTGCTTGCCCTTTCAATGTTCAAAACTAACGTTTTTGTTGCTCTGTTAGAAACTGCACCGCTTACGCTAATGAGACAAATATCGTAAACAAAGGTACTCCTCTATGTAGTGACATTTCAATGGAATCGTTTTCATTCACTTTTGAGATTGCTACTTAGTAGTAACCAGGGGTGTACCCAGGGGAGTGTTACGGGTCCTCCCTTTCCGATTTTCAGGTACTTTTTATAAGGTCTATTTGACAAATTGTGTTTTTCAAATGAGACCAAAAAATGCCACTCCATATTTTAAGACAGTGCGTGCGATTAAGAGCACGTCACCGAATACAAATCTATAAGCTACGAAAAGTTAAGTAGTTGGTACTATTTTTCATATATGTAGTTTGTACTTCAAAAAATTTTTCCTCTTAAACGTGAAACAAGCATGCGTTCTGGAAAGCTTTATGATTAAACTTTATTTGTCGATGGTGACTTATTTCGTACTAGATGGAATCCCTCCTTACAAAACTCTGGCTACGCCCCTGATAAATATACATATACAGTACTCTGAGATAATTATACTTTTAATAATTGTACTTAAAGGAAAATTTGGCTACTGATGACACATTTGACACATCAGAAGCAGACTACTGTTCTTGGTTCTACTAATATGTACACAGGCTAGCCATGCCTCGAAGCCTTTAACACTATTCGAAAACATCCTCTGGTGTAGAGTGGGACCAAGTTCAAAAGTATTTTATTTTTTGCCTAAGGAATTTAGAAAATTGTTTTGTTTTGCACTAATAAAAGTAAGTAATATTAGTATCTGACAGCGACAAAACGGTAGTTAGACTTTTGTGGTATTATTATCTTTAGATACAAACAAACAGTGACACATTTAAAACAAAATCACTGATTTATTCAGGAAATGAAAGCTTTGATCAGTGTTCATCTATAAGACTTGAAGAATCCGAAGGGAAAACTACAACAATCGAAGACTACATCACGTTGGTTTTGCAGTCTTTGTGGATTTTAGGAAAGACTACATCACATTTGACTTTTAAATATTCGACCAGGCTAAACAAAACCAAATACTTACGAGACAAAAATTACTGCAAACACAAGAACTCTCTTATTATGTGTTTCACTAAACATGGAATAAACTGGCCAAGACTTGAAAAACTGTTACCCAATACCTGTTTGAAGTTCGAGGTTATATAGCCAGGCTGCATACCGTACAAGCTACGCAAAAGATCTTCCACGTGGATCTTTAACATCTTGGCGTAAACTTGGCAGATCTTCGGCGTGAACTTCTCGTGGAATGAACCTTGTTTTTATAGCAGTAGCATCGACATTGCTAGAGCTATGAGTACTAGGTGCATACTTTACGCTCATTATTCTAGCATAAGAATGGTTATTATCCGTAAATAACGACTTTTCCCACAATGAGGCATAGAAAAGTCGAATGAAAGCCAAATAATAGCCAATACTTTTACCCCTACATTCCCCCGCGTTCGGCCGCCATCTTGGATATTTTGAAAATGCTCTTCGCCATGGTGATCATGTTATGGTTCGTGACGTAAAGCATTGTTCTTGCTTCTTCCAAAACTGGCATATTACCGGACTAATTACAGGGATATACTTGAGGAGGAGCTAAGACTACTGTCTCAACCACTCTTGTTGCTAAATAAGGAGAAAGAGGACTGCCACTTCTGAGTTGCTGTTTCTTGGTGTTCTTTAGCTTCTTTGTCAGGCACTAGTAATAATCATAAATCATATCGCTATAGTTTTGAATTGGAACTCTAAATAACTGCCATACCAAATTAAATTAATACACTAGCAAAAATCGCCTCTTCCTTCTTAGTAGCGAATCAGACGCCATGGAATTTTTCCCTCAATGGTCCACTAACAGCCGTGTGTTGCACTACAAATGTCATTGGCCAAAACGAAAAATTAAAAAAGAAAAGAAAAGCCACCATCAAAGCTCTATGGAGTTCAGTTTAGGTTATAACCAACTTGGTGGTAGGCGTCTCGACTCATTGACCATTTAGCATTTTGTTCCTAACGAGCTCATGGACCAGTCTTGCGCAACGTTGCTTTGTTGTTTTGTCTCAACATGTGTCATTGTAACTGGCTGCATTATTATTCAGTAGTCGGTCACGCAAGCCTTTGCTTCCTGGATGCCCCTGATACCAAATGGCTGCCATTAATCTTTCGGAGCCTCACATCTCCTCTTGCGGCTAAATACAGAGAACAAAAGCTGCCATAGAGACACAATCACTTCCGTGTTGCTGTTTTCTTGGAGTGAATGTCTGCGAACATGACGATTCAGGCTTGTAAAGACAATTTGTGGAAGCTACTTGCCTATGGAATATTATTTTCTCAACTCAACGTAGCAGGTATTAACTGTAGCACCTTTTAGCCTTAAATATAATAGCTATACTTGTCTGTGTATATAGATACGTAGTGGGTTGATCGATACTATCCGGTTATGTAATTTAAAGCCAATACGCGTTGAAAGTTAATGGAATTGTAAAAGTCATATCGTCAATGTATCGCTTTGAACTTTACCAGACGTACATCAACAGTCGATTCTGAAGTCTTCATTTTACTTTTTCTTCCACTCAATCAGAACCTATTATAGTGAAAATATCCTCAAGTATTATTGCATATAACTCTATCTGCTTTTGATAGAAAAAAGCGGCATAACTGCACAAAAATTGCTTTGAGTTGTCAAGCTTTGCAATGCATCATCATTGGTCACAGTAAATCTTATTGTTTATTGTTTATTACAATTCATGGCGCTA